AATATAAATTACTTCGTTATTGTACCTAAATTAAATTATAATAAAAAAATTGAATTAAAAAATTACATAAAAAATGAGGAATTTTAAATAGTTAATTTGATACGAATATTGATATATTTTTGTTATGCATAAAGTATTATATATTGATGCATATTACTTGAAATTCAAGATTACAAGTAATTATGCATAAGTACAACTTATTAAAGCTCGATGTTTAAATTCATATAAATAACTGCGGATAAACATAATCAAATAGAGGATGAACATCCCATTTTAAAATATAAAAAATCTAAAATATAATTAGAATAAGTATCGAGTTCCAACAAAATAAATAATTATTATCTTTATAAAAAAATTATATTATTAAACCAAATATAAATTACTTCGTTATTGTACATAAATTAAATTATAAAAAATTGAATTAAAAAATTACACAAATAAATGAGAAATCTCAAATAGTTAATTTGATACTAATATCAATATATTTTTGTCAAATTTTTATGATATCTTCAAACATATATCTTATTCAAAAATAAAAACATCATCGTTTTCTCAAAATTACATAAAGCCATATTATAACATCGACTGAGATAAAGAATAAAATGAAATATTAAATTCACGATGTATCTCGTTGCATTGCGCGATTGTGCGAGTACGCTTCTAGTATATATATATATATATATATATATATATATATATTGATGATTGATTGATGATTATCAATCATGTGTAAATAATTAATGTCAACGGAGTTTAAATTCGTTTTTTTAATCATATCTTGTAATTATAAAATATCAAAACTTTATTCGAATTTATATGATCTAATCGTAAACATAATCATGTCACACGATAACAACAAATCCAACAATATTGAAAAGAAGAAAAGTGTAATAACAAATCACGTTTTCTAAATAATATATTTTTTATATATCTTTTTTAAAATCTTTTAAGTTTTATTCAACTCTTATTTTTTTTTTCTTTACTCACCAAAAGATTTCTATCAATTGAAAAACTCTTGAAATAGTCAAAATTTAACGTAATTATCAATCACGTATAAATAGTTATTGTTAATGGAGCTTAAATTCGAAAAAGGATTATCATATCATGTGATTACAAAATATCAAATTTTTATTCGAATTTATATGATCTAATCATAAACACAATCATATCGTATGATAACAACAAATCTAACAATATTGAGAAAAAAAAAATATGTAATAACAAATCGCATTTTTTTAATGAATATTTTTACATACCTTTTAAAATCTTTGAATTTCTTCTGCAACTCGCATCTTTTTCATCCCTCACCAAAAGAATTTCTAGGATTTCATTTTGCTTATTATTGAAACTTTGAAAAACAAATTTCATTAAGAAATAATAAAAGTAAATGGAAGAGCAAATCAAGAGTTGGAAGTTAACTTTGAGTATACAAATTTACAAAAAAAAAATCCAGGTTAATTCTGAACTATACTTTTTCATACATAGGGGGTGTTTGGGGTTGTTTATTTGAAACAACTTATATTTTTCAACAAAAACATTTTTCAACTTATTATAAGTCATAAGAGTTTAACTTCTTCAAAAACTCTTTAGTACCGGTTTGACATCGATATAAATTGTTTATCCAAACACTCAAGAGTGTTTATTATCGATACCACATTGAAATAAATTAATAAATTATTTTTATAAGTAATCCCAAACACCCCATAGATTAAAAAAAAAAAAAAAGTCGTTAACAATAAGAGAAGTTCTAATTATTAGAATATATCATCTTATTGTGTTGGTTTCGTTAAGTAATCGAAGACTTTGGGATCGTGACTCAGATTTAATTGACCAAATAATTCACGTTTGCATAATGCGCCGTGACATCCAATCGCAGCCCTCCATTTCATCATCTCAAAAACCCACATCAAAACCGACCTGCACCACTGTCACATGAGATCACACCGAATTTAAACCCGATAAAGTAGAACGCCATCATAATTGGCGCGTCTCCTCACGCGCAACACCACATGCCTTTTTTAAAACCGTTGTTATTTTAAATTATTTTAATTGATAATTAAATTTGACAAAAAAAAGTACAGGTTTAATTAATAATCGACTACCTAAATTGCTATTTATTATTAATTAATTTAATAACAACAAAATATTCAAAATAAATCTTTAACAATTCAAACGTGTTGTCGAAGGGGAATTTTGTAAAACTTAAAACAAGTTTATGTTGGAAAAATGTTTGAAACACTTTAATTGGTTTTTATTTTAAATTATAATTGTTCATGACAAGAAACGAGAAAGACGTTCCGTCTGTATCTCGATGTGTGAAATGATTTATTTTCAGAAAAGTCCTTAAACTATTTACAAACTTTCAGTTTTAACCTCTTGATTCTTTCTCTTATACTTCACGTGCTAATATTAACATGACTAGCATGCCACAAATTTCAAGGGGTCAAGTCTTCGAAAAGGTTTGTTAGTTCGCTTTCATGATTCTAACAACCTTTTCATGAATTGTTTGTCGCTGTATTATTGTTAACTTAATATTTTTCATTTCTCATAAACATTTAGGTAGGAGAATGGCCCCTGATCCGTCGAGGAACCCGCTCCATCCGTCTCGATCGGGGATGAAGATTTCCCACTAAATCAAGGATGGGGACGGGAATCAATGTTTGTATCAAACCGGGGATGGAGACGGGGACGGATATCGTACTCCCCTCCCCATACCCGTTATATATATATTGATTAATAAATTATATATATATATATATATTATTTATTTCAAATAAAGCAATAATTCATAATTTCATATTTCTTAACTAGGTTTATAATCTAAATTATTATTTTTTGGATGTTAATATGTAATATTTTGGATGTCAAATCAAAATATAATTACTCGATAAGTTTTGTATATCACTCGATATAGTTTTATATTACTCAATATATTTTGGTACATGTGACTTTAAGTTATTTTTGGATTAAATTGATTTTTTTTTGTTTTAGGTTATTAATTCTTATATGATGTTGTGGTTTTTTTTATTAAATTAAATTTATTTTGGTTTTAGGTTTATTAAAAATGTTTGAGATTTAAACATGTATGGTCTCTTACATATTTAATTTAAAATAACTTATATAAACGGGAAAAAAATCTTCGTTTCCTCGCTGGGGATGTGATAATATTCCCCGACGGGGATGAGGATGAAGACGAAGATAAAGATAAGTAATCGGGGACGGGGATTGAGGTCCCCACCCCATCCCTACCCCATTCTCATGCCTATAAATTTTTAACACATCAAGGTTTCCTCATTGGTGAGAATATAATAAAAATTATTTCAGTTTCATGCTCTTTCACGGTAATTATTTTTAGGGAGTTCTCCAAATATTTGAAGGATTTCACTCTTTCTAATACTTTCACCATTTTAGAGAAAATTTTTGAACAGACATTTGCTCAAAATTTATATTTTCTTTATTTATGAGAATACGTTAGAGATGTTCTTATAAAAACTACAGCTTTTTACTATAAAAAACGTATCATTAAAGGTGCTTTTATTTATTGTTTTCATTGTCTTTTCATATATAAAGGAGTTATCATATCAAAAGACACAAAATAAGACATTTGTTAATATTTCTAATGCACTTTTTGGAATGATTTTAGTAGATTTCTATCAAAGTTGATAGAAGATAGACCATATTGTTAGTAAATGTTAGATTATGGGTAAAAGTTGCCAGAACAATACTTGTTGGGTTAAAAATGAAGTTACTAAATAGTCGAGGGACAATTTTATAAATTACTTTCTCTTTCTTAGGTGGAATGTAAAGTTTCGGTGAAAGAAACAGTACCAAACCAATATCATCATCATAGCAGCCTCTACAATCTATCTACAAACAATCTCCTCCTCCTCCGCCGCCGCCACAACCGACCGGAGAAATCTATCCGCCACCGGAGATGGGTGCCGCAGAACCTGTAAATTACATCACCTGACCTCCTTGATTTCATTTTCTGCTTCTAAGAACTATCTCTCACGTCTTCTCCCCTGTTTCTACCCAATCTTTTGCAGGTTGTAGAGAGAGAAAATGAAGATGGTGATGATCAACATACAGAAACAGTTGAAACCAAAGAAACGCACAAAGATTTGGAGAAAGGTGCGATGGGTTTCGAAGAACACCAACAACAACCACCAAGAGATATGCATATGTCAAGAATGCAAAGATTAAGTGCCACAAATCCGTTAAGACTTGTGATTGATAATGCCACAAGAGTACCTCCTACACCTATCCCTAATCGTGGCCCCACCACTGCCACCCACCACCCACCACCGCCACCGCCACCCACCGCCACCCACCACCCATCTCCACCACCACCCTCCGGTAATCCCCGCTCCATCCCCACCCCCATCTCCATCCCCACTCCTACCCACAGCACACCTATCCCTCAAGTAAGTCAACCTTTCTATTTATCCAAATTCCATTCTTTTCTTCCTTTTTTTGAATTAAATTTCAATTACAAATTCTGGGTTTTCTTTATTACGTCAATTAATTTAGTGGCCTTTTTCTAATTTTAATTCTGTTGTTGTTCGTCAGCAATCTTTGACCACACTAAATTCAAGAAAATACACGAACAAGATATCATTGTTCATATTCACACTCCATTTCTTGGTTGCTGTTTGTTTGGTGTTCTTCTTGGTGTTCAAAGGGATCCAAGGATTGTTAGAAGGAGGGAGTTCAGGGAGGAAAGAAAGAAGGGTAATTCGGTACTTTCTCCCACAAGTTGAAGCCGCTTCTCTTTTAAGCATCACATTGGCATTCACATGGCAGAAAGCAGTGAGGGTTTGGCCAAATTTCATGGTGCATTTCATCCTGTGGAGCTCTTTCCTCATGACTTTATCCGCCGGAATCCTCCTTATCTGCATCCAACGGCCGAGCACCGACGGTGTTGGAGTGGTGTTCATCTTCTTTTCCATCGGAAATGGGTTGTATGCTTGTTGGGTAACTCAAAGAGTTAAATTTTGCAGTAAGATTTTCATCAAAGCACTTGAACCCGTTTCGAAATTCTCAGATATAAACCGACCCACATACTGGATGCTTGGAATTGGGTTCATTTGGATGTCGATTTGGATATTAGCAGTGATTGGGGCATTGAATTTCTATTTTCCGCCATTGGTGATCATTGGGTTGGTGTTGAGCTTGCTTTGGACGGCAGAGGTGATGAGAAATGTTGCGAATTTGACGATAAGTAGGGTGATTTCTTTGTATTATCTTAGGGGAATGCAATCGAACACACAGTTTTGCTTTCAAAGAGCAATGTCCAAGAATCTTGGAAGTGCTTGTTTAGGGTCTTTATTTGTTCCCACCATTGAAGCTCTGAGAATCGTTGCTCGAGGTCTGAATTTGCTTGAGGGAGAAGATGAGTTCATGTTCTCTTGTGCACATTGTTGTCTCAAAGTTATGGAAGCAATCTTTAGATATGGCAATGGCTGGGCTTATGTTCAGGTAAACAAATCTATGTGCAATTTCTCATATCAATTGGCAAATAAATATCCGACCATCAGTTAGAATTTTTTTTTTTTGAAGTATATAATATTTATATATGGCAAATACAACAAATAAACTCACACATTTTACTCACCATTGGTGAGTTTTGAACCCTTGACCTTCTCGGAGACTAAGAACTACGATACCGCTGGACTGAAGGACCTTTGGTACCATCAGTTGAAGTTTCCTTTTGAATATATTCATGTTTATTATATGATATTGATTTTAGAATATCATATAATTGATTTCAAGAATGTTTTTTTTGCCACTTTATCATATAATTTCTAGGCATTTGTTAAAAAGGAGAAGTGTCCCTTTCCTACCTAATTCATTTTAATAATTTCTTTGATAAAATAATTGACTATATAATTTTATAAAATAACCGTTTGAATTTATTTTTATGCATTCGTTACAGATAGCAACATACGGAAAAGGGTTTGTGAAAGCATCGCAAGACACTTGGGAACTTTTCGAGAAGCGAGAAATGGAAACCATCGTTGATTCCGACATCACCACTGCCGTATGCTTCCTCACTGGAGTTTGTAGCGGTTCTATATGCGTTATCATGGTGGCGTCTTGGACGTCGACTGTGCATAGAGACTTCACCGCCACCATATCTCTCCTTGCCTTCATCGTTGGTTATTTAATGGTTAGTATTATATGATTTTCAAATATATTAAACTTTTGTTCTTTTTTGGTGGTTGTTCTGATTATTTTAATATTTACTTTTCAGACGAGGATTGCAATGGCATTGCCCCACGCTTGTGTGAATTGTTACTATGTGTGTTACGCTGAGAATCCCGATAACAGACTTTTTGATAAAACAATACCAGACCGTCTTGCTATGATTAAATCTAACCGAGACGTAGTAGTCATAACGCCTCGAGTTCCTCCAAGGTTTAGAAGATAACATAGGCTTTTGATCTAGTTTTTCCAATAGTTGTACATGATGTATTTAGTTTTTGCATCAACAAATTGTTTTCTCATCCGTTTCATAGGATTTGTACGAAAAAACACATCAATAAAACTTGCGTACAATGGATTTAACGATCATTCAAATAATGTTTAAAAAAACATTCGAGTAATCTTAGAACGAAGATGCATGTTTTAAAATATCATTTTAAATAAATTGTTTAGAGTGAAAGAGTAACGGGGCCATCAATAGAAATGTGCATTAATTGACTTTATTTTCGGGTGGTCTTTTTGGTAGATTCCTCAAAACACAAGGGTCTTATTAGTTATGTGGGAAAACTTTAGGGGGTTAATGTTAAATGTAAGGCTGGCAATGGGTAAAAATGTGGTGTTTATCACTTGAAAATTCAATGAATTTAAGTAGAACCGATATAATCATTTATTGGATATTGAATTTTGTCATCTGATTAACATTAGACATCCGATCTGATCCAAATCCAATGGATGGTTGGATCATATTTCGGTTCCATCCATTGGATGTTACTACTGGTTATCCACTGAACCGGATTGGATTCCTTTAATCTTCTGATCCAATACTCAACCATATGATCCATCATTTTAACCGATTATTTATATATTTTCTTAATTTATTAAAAACAATATCGTAAAATGTTAATAATTATATATAGTTATCAGTTACATATTAGTTTGATGGTCATCAATTTGGTTTTAGATGTTGGACTGTCATCCAAGAACCGACCGATCATATTTGGATGTTGAAATTTTGGATCCGATCTGATCCAATTACAATTGGATATTTGATTATGATTGGCTGGTTTTAATTGAATCGGTTGGTTCTAATTGGACCGGTTGTTTATTTTAAATCGGATGATTTTTGGGATACCCCTAGGTAGTAAAAAGTAATTTACTACATGGTTACTTTCCATATGTTGGACAAGGGTACGTATGTGAAATTTTGGGAGAAATTGACCGAAATGGTTATCTTCCATTCATCTTTTAGTTATTTTTGAAACAAAAATTCTATTTTAGTAATACTTTAAACAAGTGTTTTATGCATTTGCATAAAGTCTATTTTCAGATAAATAAATAAAAAACTAATTCTTTAACCGAATGTGTAAACCATTTGCACAAAGATCCTTACACAAATGAGTTACGCAATCGTGGATTCTTACATAAATTTATGTAACGGTTTTATTAAAGCTTTGAACGTAAAATATTTGTATTAACTTTGACTAAAATGAAAGTTCAACTGAAAAAATGGTTAAAAATTTGGTGGAGATTATTTCGAACAATTTTCCTAAATTTTATCTATTTATTCTATTATCCATTTTTTTAAGATAAGATATAGATAAATGATAAAAAAATTTACCTATATATATAATTATAAAAATTAAATACAATACATTATCTAATGTGTAATTTAATCTTATTTTATGTTTGGATAAACTTCAAAAAGTATAAGGGTCGGAAAAATAAAATTATAATAATTTTTTTTTAAAACATTACATTATAAAATAGTTTATTTGAAATAACAGCACAATATTTATATATTGGAATAATTTAAATATAGAGTAATTAATTAATTTATGTTCGATGTTTAAACAACATTATTTGTGATCCACAATGAATTATTGTAACTGTTTATTTATTACTTAGGTGTCGTTTATCAAATGTTTACTTGGGTAAGTGAACACCAAGTTATATTAACTTATTGGGTTAGTATGGTAAGGACCTAGAATCTTATCCGATAAGAGTGAGTCAAAGACCAAGAGTCTTACCCGGTAAGTGAGGACAACGATTTTTACCACGGTAAACGCTTACTGAGTATATTGTTGCGTATGCTACTGTTTTTGTGGACTACAATCTTACCCGATAAGTAAATAATAGTGTTAAATTTTACCAGTAAGCACTTACCGGATACGTGTTTGGTAAATGACACCTTAGTTTAATTACCTGCTATCTTAACAATACAAAATAATTGAGTAAAGTTCTATAAATGATTAATTATTTGTTTACTTATCCGTCATTAAATAATAATATAGATAGTGTAACGGAATAACTTTTATCCTATACATACTCTATTTTTTTGCAAATATTAGTTATATGTATGTTTTGAGGAGTTAGCATCCGCCAATAGAAGGAGGTTCAAACGAAAATAATAACGAAATAAAAAATATGAAAACCGTTAAATCATGTATAAAATCACATATGTTTTTACACTCATAGTCAATACAAGGGTGTGTGGGTGATGTGGCTCGCGACATCCGGTCACGACCAAAGTCGTGTGAATCAAATTTTAGTATAAAATCACATATGATTCCATTGTTTCTTTATTGTCTTATTTGTTTACAGTTCTCGTATGAACTTGATTTTATGCCAATATTTTATTATAATATTAATTAATGTTTATGTGATTTTAGTATAAAATCATACACCGTTCAACTATTTTTTATTTATTTATTTGTTTATTGTTTTTGCATAAACCTGATTTTATATCAACAATTATCATATATAATATATTTTTAAAAAACTTTATTAAAAAAGGATATTTTATTATCTTTTCACAAAAACAAATCGGAAAGAAAGTATGAGAAGTGCTTAAAGAAAAAGACGCAACAGTTATGGCACGTTTTGGGCACGACATACACGTGTAATGCGCGATGGTCCGTACTATAAAATATTAATAAAATGCAAGAGGTGTAACCAAATTCGTAAGTCAACAAAAACATCTTCCACCTGTCAATTTTATTATTTATTTAAATGTATCTTACAAGATATCATGATTTTTCAGTATATTTTTAACATTATATGTCAGATTAAATTTATAAATAATCAAAAATAAAATTATGAACATAACAGAAGAGATGCACATTGGCTGGTACAGATTTCATATCTTAGGTATTGTTTGACAATCATAAGTAAATTTATAAGCTAACTTGTTTTTTAGATACATGTTTGGATAGACATAAGATAACTTATAAAATAAATTAACTTACCTTATAAGTTAGCTTATAAGCAACTTATTGAAACGTTACTTGGAATAACTTACGAGGAGTTCTTTGTCATCTTTTTTCAATTATAACTCTTATTAATATCAATTATTATTTATAACTATTAATAATAATTAAATATTAATTATTAATAAATAAAAGTTATTTACTATTAGTATTAATAAATATTAGTAAATAGTAAATAATATGAGTTAAAAATTATTAATTAAATTTAATTACATATTATACCTTAATATTAATTATTAAATTATACATATGTGTTAAATGACCTTGACTTAATAGACAGGGTTAGTTGACTTAGTTCCAGTGACAAAAAAACAAAACGAAATGAAAACCACACAAAAATCATTTTGTGAAGACTGAAAACGAAAATAGTTATAAGTAAGGAACCATAAGAACAAAAGTCATTGTTTATGCTTATTAATATTATCAATCAAGATGAAAGATCGTGTGAAAAGTAGAGTTAGTGTAAGAAGTAGCGTTGATGTGAGAGACGTAAGAAAGGATCTGGACCATTGATCATCTTTAATCTCAAACTTGTCCACGAATCGCGCTTGATACATGGATTGATCTGGTGCATCTCATACTAATGTGCATCTAAGAATAAAGATCCTTTTTTTATAATTCTTATTTCTTACCTTAATTTTTCTCTCATCGAAACCTAACCCTATCAAATTAAATGTAATTTAAAATATTTTTATGATTGTAACGTTTTTACTTTTCTATTTTAACCCTCTCGATTTGGAAGAGGGTAACGATAAAATAAAATGATAAAGTAAATAATTAATTTTTCGAATAATAATAATAATTCATCATAACTCGTTTTAAAATAATAGTAGAATTAAAATGATATTATAATATTAATTGATG